TTCTGAATAAATGTCAATTACGACAATTTTCAGCAGTACAAAATCATTTTATCATTTTGATACAAAGATCATCCATATTTGCTCAAAATGTTCAAATAAATATCAAATTCGACTCGATACAAACACACTAATCTACTTACTTTCTGCCTAGAGATTCCAGCATTGAGATCATTATTGACCCGATTCCCTGCGATTGATATTTCTCTTCGACTTGAATTTCAAAACTAAAATTTGAACAACGATAAAGGCATTCGTTCCACAGTTTCACGACACAAGAGTACACAGCATCAACACTATATGAAACAGAGATATCGTAACAAATCAGAAATAATTTCAAGTGAATCGATGAAGAATTAAACGGCAAATTACCAATAAACAACAGCTGAATCGTGATCCATATCGAAGCGATAATGGCAATAACCTATTGGTGTATTATGAGCGTTCTTTGCAATGATGTATCTGAGATGAAGAATAAATGAAACAAAACAACGACAAATCCATAGAGTAAAAGAGAGGGGTTGCATTTTTAGTTCACTCTTTGTTCAAAAACGTCAAAAAGGTTTGCGACTTTAATAAAAAATGGTAAGATTCTTCAAAAATTCGTACAAAACAAAATTAAACCTCGACGTTGTCGATGAGAGTTCCTGCTTTTTGCTCTGCTCATCATAGCCCCATTGTGAGAGCTCATAAAACGCACGCATATTCACCACAAACAAATTGAAAATCCACTCGAAAAGTTTCTCATCCAAGTGTGTTCCCCACATAAATGAAAACGATAATGGCTCACTGCAAAGTGGAAAAATCTTAAAATTCCAAACTCAAGCTTGAAATTTCCAATATATTATAATGACATAATCTTTCTTGGAAAAACGAGAAACAATGTTCGGAAAATGAATGCAATTAGGTTTGGAATTGACAATTGAAGAAAGTGACTGATTACGTGCAAGCAAATAATTTGAAGTACCCTGATAATGTTTCAGTGGGATATTCACATTTAAGACTCTCAATTGGATTCGGCATTTTACTCGCTTTCTTTACGAGTCGCTTCTTCACATCACTTCGAGTCATTCTCTCTGAAGCAATTGAAGATTCCTCTAGCACATACTTATATAGAGGCACAACTCATTTCGTTTTAATACGGCCCTATCTTCGACCCTCGATTCAAATTACACTTTATTGTGCAATTAGCATTATAATTATTGTTTCTTGTTGTAAGATTTAAGTGCGACGGGAAAATCAATCTTGAAACGATCATGAAAAGTTTTCAACGATATAATTAATTTTTTTAAAACATGTAAAAAAACATTCTATTGTAATTGTAATAATCGTAAATGTATCACCATTATCCTACCGATTTCGTTTCAAAAATTAAAAAAATAAAATTGAATCATCGTCATTCTATCAACGAATACAACGCACAATCTGGATTTCAGTTGGACACGAACTCATCAATAAAACGAAAAAAATATTCGTTCATAAATAACGACGGATGAATCGTGTTCACTTAGATGAATAAACAAACGCAAAAAAACAATGAAAATAAGCCGTTCAAACTGTGAAATATTTTATTGTTGTTTTTAATCGAAAACTACATACATAACCGGCATAGAAGTCTCTCAACTACGGCATAATTAAGTTATTTTTAGTGTTATTTTTGTTTTCATGATGAATGAAAATATACAAATGAACACATCAAAAATTTCAATTCATATACATCACATTACAAGACATGTACAATAAGTCATGTACAATTTGCTCGAAACAATCGGAAAGACGCGCAACAGAACATCAAAATAAATGAAGCTCTCGCTGAATTCTAAATTTTTGGTTTCACATCTTAAATATTCCACAGATGCAAACATTTCGTTCAACGAAATCGCCAGGCACATACGACAATATACTGATTATTCGAAATTAGGTGATTAATGAGACGATAACAACGATATATAATGTTACCGATAACAATAAAATCAGCGATAATACTAATCAAAATTAAATCACGGAAACGATCACTAAAATGTCAGAAGCATCATGCATATATCCATGAAGCGATCAGTCAACTGCTAGTAATAACAGATACATCGAAACAATAGACTTCCTAATATGGCATGAGTACAATTACGGAACTTCATAAATCAGCACAACTTAAAAGCAGAACTTGACTAAATAAGAATCACGAAAGAAACACTTCAGTAGCAAGCCAGCTCTGTAATTCAAATACCAATTTATTTAGTTTACAGGATAAACTGAATCCCTCCACTGACCAGTTGTGATCAATGGCAAATTACAAATCATGAATTTCTCAATTTCAAAGTAAAACAAATGAATTTACATAAGAACTCAAGGATCCACCAACTTTTCACTGCAGTTCTCAATGAAGCAATCAATCACTTGATAATCTCATCAAATCACGAACGAATGTTTCGCATGCAATACACTACTAACTAAACCTAAACTATAACTCGCTTTATATGAAGCGTACAAATTAATCAAGCAATATTCAGTAATGAATTACACAATAAACAAATGCAATATTATTCACAAAAGATCTAACACGAACAAACGACAGATACGAACTGCTAACGATCATCAATGAGAGTACGTTAGTAATTCATTCGGAACTCACTTAATCTATCGTTTGCCTGAGAGTATAATGAAATATTCCTCTTATCAAAATCGCTCTTCATCTTAACCTACCGCCAGTTTCAGTTTCAAATTTGTCGTCACTTGAGAATAACTAAAAAGAAATTCTTTAACAAAGCAATAGTCAATGAACTCTCATTGCTGAGCGCTAAAATTTGTCATATTGAAATGGCGCATAACGAATGAGCAAATCTGACCAATTGTACCGTGATAACCTATATGATACACTATGATAAGATATCATTTTCTGCTCAGATACTAAAACTTTCGCCGCAACCGCAAGTGCCTTTGATATTTGGATTACGGAAGATGAACTCGGACGAGAGAGACGATTTTACGAAATCCATTTCTGTACCCAACAGTGTTAGTTGTGCCTTTGTATCGATCCATATTCGTACGCCATCCTTCAAATGTCTCACAATTACAATCTTATAACATCAATTCATTTTGAACAATTACTGATTAATCTCTTAGAAATGAATATTCCCTAAACAAGGCGATAANTTTCGAGCACACAAATGTGAGGTCAACTTCTAAATATGCTTACATCTAACTTTGTTTTATCGAAGAATCCGTAGCACCTTTAGAGGTTTCAGTGCATAAACCAAGTAATTAGGAAAACAAAACAGCAAAATCTAGAATCGAACCTGTATGACTTCTTCATCAAATTTAGCCTTGCTTTTTGCATAATCCAACGTATACGTTAAACCACTACAGCCACGTTGCCTAACGCCAATCTATAATTTTTTGATCGCAATTTTAGTTAAAAAATTTTCCCACAACAATGTAATAATAATCATAATCGTAAGAACACTAAAAATTTGAGAACATTCAATCATAACAGTAACAGTAATCAGACTGACAAAAACAGTGATATCATTAGTAACGGTGATAACTTTGACACGAAAGAGCGCACCTTTAAAGCCTTCATATCAGGTGCCTTCTGCAAAAGGACCTTCACTCGCTCTACTGCTTCTGGAGTGAGCGTTAAAGCAGCTCTTGGCGGAGTCCTTCGCATCACTCCTTTCACAACTCGTGCTGTTGCACCACTCAAACGTGCCGCCATCCTGATGTTTCTGAAAACTCAAACATTCACTTTACTTCAATGATTTACCGTTACAAGTGATTCAGACAATCTTCAAAACTCCGCGACTCGGCTACGCTTTCTATAGTTATTTCACATTACGATATTGCTTAGTCTTGTTTTGGAGTTAATCATATGCTTATGGCAAATGCAAAACACACAAAAAGCGCACTGCCTTGTCTTGGGAATTCTATTCGAAGCGTTGAGATCCTTCTCGCGCACTGTTCAAAAGCTTCTTGAATGAATTTCCTTACTTCCTGCTCTCAGATTTCTCTTCGCTACAAGTTTTAACTAAGGGATGA